GTATTTGTCGACCACCCAGGTAAACCTCATCCCAGGAGGCATACCTGGGTGGTCGACAAATACCTTTGATGTCGCCACCCGCGCGTCTAGACTATCACGCTGAGCCATGTAAATTTAAATGAAGCGGTGATTATTTAAATCGCCGCTTCATTTTCCTATGTCTGGTAGCCTAATCTACATGCCTCTGTCGCCAGAGGCATGTAGTCTAGACGTACCCTAAGTGCCCTGCCCTGAAGAGCACTCTAGCCAGAAAGAAAGAAAAAAAAAAAAGATATGGGCAGTGACAAGCTCCTGGGTTGTTAGCTCCATACTAAACACACTAGATTCCTTCCTTCTCTGACCCTTCCTCCACCATTCAGCCGTTTTTATTTCCCCGTGGAACAATCCCCGGCATTATTTCACCATTCTTATCTCCCAACCCCCTCCCAACATCTGGTCTGAGTGTTCTGACCACACCACCTCTGACCCTCTCCTTCATCCCTTCCGCTGGATCCCTCTTCGGCTTCTTGCAACTGCTGTCAAAACCTCCACCCAACTCTACTCCTCCCTATCTTCTGCCCTTCTCTCATCATATCCCTCCATACCCCATCTGCTCTCCAATGATACTACTACTTGTCCACTTCTCTCAGAACCATCCCTACCAGACTATGCACTTCCCGAGGTAAACCACAAAGCCCATTTCATTATCCCCTCAAAGATTTTTTTTCCTGAAGCCACACTGCTTTTATATCACTAGGAAACTAGCTGACTAAGGCATCCACTTACCTATTTCACTTATTTATCTCATGAGAGAAGACCAGGTGTCCAATTTTAGCTGAGCTGAGTATAAAATGGAGGGTGAGATATTCTAGAGGAGATGTTATCAGAGAAATAGGATGAAATGTGAGATTGGAAGACAAAGACAGACCAGAAGAAGAGAGGCAATTCTGTGGCTACTCAAGGGTGCGGAAGTAGTAGTTAAAGCCGTGGATAAGGTTACCCAGAAACAGGGAAAACAGAATGAAAATGAGAGCTCTGTGGGACTTCCCACTGGAAAGTGACAGAGGGAAGACTACCAACCTAGACATAAAAGTGCAGCCAGAGATGTGGCAGGTGATCTGGTACTTTAATAGGGCCAGAGAAGACAATGTCTCAAGCAAGAGGGAGTGGTCAGCTATATCAAATTGCAGCAGGGAAGTCAAGGAAAATGGGAATGAAATGGAGGCCCTGAGTTGAGAGTAGGGAGAGGTCATAGAGAAATCTTTTTAAAAAAAGGGTTTGGTCAACTGGAGTAGACAGAAATCTGGTATGAGGGGGATCCAATATGAAGTTGGGGGGAAGATTCAGAATAAAGACTGTAGGGGGGGCACATTCTATGAGGTTGAGGGTGAAAGGGAAGAAAGGATGGGGGAGAATGTAGTCAGAGACAGGCAAAATATAGTGTCTTCACTTTTCAGAACACAGCCCTCTTCCACATATGGAAGAGATCTCCAGTTTGTTCCGATCATTTTGAATTATGACCCTATCCTCCAAAGCACTTACAACCCCGCCCAGTTTGGTATCATTTCCAAACTTAATAAGCATACTTTCTATGCCACCATCTAAATCATTGATGAAGATATTGAACAGAACTGGTCCAAAACAGATCCCTACAGAACCCCACTTGTTATGCCCTTCCAGCATAACAATGAACTGTTAATAACTACTCTCTGAGAATGGTTATCCACCCAGTTATTCGCCCACCTTATAGTAGTCCCATCTACATTGTATTTGCCTAGTTTATTGATAAGAAGGTCATGAGAGGCCATATCAAATGCCTCACTAAAGTCTAGATTTACCAGTCAACTGCTTCTTCCTAATCCACAAAACTTGTTATCCTATCAAAGAAAGTTATCATATTGGTATGATATGATTTGTTCTTTACAAATCCATGCTGGGTGTTACCTATCACTTTACTTTCTTCCAGATATTTGCAGACAGATTCGTTAATTAATTGCTCCATTATCTTTCCTGGCACAGAAGTTAAACTGACTGGTCTGTAGTTTCCTGGGTTGTTCTTATTTCCCTTTTTATAGATGGGCACTATATTTGCCCTTTTCCAGTCTTCTGCCATGATTTTTCCAAAGATGATAGCTAACGGCTCAGATATCTCCTCTATCAGCTACTTGAGTATTCCAGGATGCATTTCATCAGGCTCTGGTGACTTGCAGATATGTAACTTTTCTAAGTAATTTTTAACTTTTTTTTTATTTAACTTCTAAAACCTACCCCATATACACTAGCATTCACTATCTTAGTCATCCCTTCATCATCAAACTTCTTAGTGATAAATGAAACAAAGAAATCATTAAGTACCTCTGCCATTTCCAAGTTTCCTGTTATCGCTTCTCCCTCCTCATTGAGCAATGGGCCTACCCTGTCCCTAGTCTTCCTCTTGGTTCTAATATATGTATAGAATATCTTCTTGTTACCCTTTAC